CATGAAGAAAACTAAGATGACATCCGGTCCTCTCACTTCCTGGCAAATAGATGGGGAAGAAATGGAGGTAGTGACAGATTTTATTTTCCTGGGCTCCAAGATCACCGCAGATGGTGACTGCAGCCAAGAAATTAAAAGACACTTGCTCCTTGGGAGGAAAGCTATGGCAAATCTAGACAGCATACTAAAAAGCAGAGACATCACCCTGCTGACAAAAGTACATATAATCAAGGCTATGGTTTTCCCATTCGCCATGTATGGCTGTGAAAGCTGGACCATAAGGAAGGCTGAGCGCCGAAAAATTGAGGCCTTTGAATTGTGGTGCTGGTGGAGACTCCTGCAAGTCCCTTGGACCGCAAGGCGATCAAATCGATCAGTCCTAGAGATCAACCCTGACTGCTCTTTAGAAGGCCAGATCCTGAAGATGAAACTCAAATATTTTGGCCACCTAATGAGAAGAAAGGACTCACTGGAGAAGAGCCTAATGCTGGGAACAATAGATGGCAAAAGAAGAAGGGGACAGCAGAGAATGAGGTGGCTAGATGGAGTTGCTCAGGCAGTCGGCGTGAGCTTAAGTGGACTCCGAGGGATGGTGGAGGACAGGAAGGCCTGGAGGAATGTTGTCCATGGGGTTGTGATGGGTCGGACGTGACTTTGTGACTAGCAACAACAGTTAAGTTTCAATTGTAGCATACTGGGAATGGTTTCTGCTTTGTTTTGTGGGGTATAAAAGAGTCAGTGCTCTTTTGTATTCAGTTCTTTTTGGGTATTTTATTTGATGTTGAACTTTATAGGGCTTTCTGAGTCAGTTAATGCAGAGTACAAAAAGTGCTTTGAACTGCAGGCAAAGCAGTATTCCTACTTCAGAAAGCCAAAACAAGTTACGGAGAGTTTGAATGCTGTAGTTGCAGGACAGCCAGTGAATGCTCATTAGACTGTACCATCAAGCAGTTCGGTTGCAACAGAGGGTCACTGTGTAGACCCAGAAATTGGTACTTTGCACAATCTCTATTGAAGTAGCAAAGTCAGATGGTGTCAGCAATGTCTGGTCAGATACGTGGTCAGTGGAAATGTGGGAAAACAAGAAAAGCAATAATCCATGGCTGAGATGTGTATCATGTTGACTTGGTTATTCTGTATGTACAAAGTCAAGCATTTGGGATCTCTCAGTGTAGTCATTCTGTTGCATAGGATGGAACTTCAAGAACCATACAACCTAAGTCAGTCCCAAGGAAGGTGTGGAAGTGCTCCCCTTCAGTTGCCCATAAGCAGGCCAAGGAGAGATTGGATAAAGTCAAAATGCAACACACAGTCTTGACCCTGATTGCTGCCATGCATCCCAAATAAGGACTTGCAGGGTATTTAAGCAGCCTGTTACTTAGCTAAAAAGAATCCGATCACTTTAAACTGCTGCAGCCACAAGAGCTAAATGGTGCAGAGCTTGCTAAAGGTCTGAATTCCAGATTCAGTGCCACTCAAATTATTGATCACATTGGATCAGTAATGCAATCAGACATCCACAAAGCAAAACAGCATCAGTGCTGAGATACCATTTCTTACTGATGAGTCCACAAGTCTCAGTGATAAAAAGCACATTAACAGTGTATTTAATATTTGAATATGATAAACAAAATGAGATGTGTCATTTTTCTTGACCTAATAGAACTTGCATAGAAAAATGCAGTAACGATAACATCCATGCTTCTAAATTGCCTAACATCACATGGTTTTGATCTTCAGTACCTCCAACAAAATCTTGTATGTTTTTCTAGTGATGGAGCTAGTGTGATGCTAGGAAGGAAATCTGGAGTTGCGCAGTGCCTTCTTGAAAGACGTCCCAGCATCATTGTGTGGCCTTGTCGAAATCACGGGTTAGAGCTGACTGTTGGTGACACAGTTTCAGAAGTCTGTTGTATGGATTTTTTCTGTGCATTTATGGACAAACTTTATTCATTATACAGCAAGTCCCCACAAAATAAAAGAGAGCTGAGAAAATGTTCAGAGCAATTGGATGAGCAGATAAATAGGACTGGAAAGGTCTTGGATGTTAAGTTCCTTTAGGACTATTTCAGCAGTTTGGAAAAACCACCGTTCTCTGTGTTTACACTTCAAGTCTTCTAATAAGTACAGCAGTTGTTCACTGACTGAGAGATCATCTTTCAGTTGACAGATAATTGGAAAGTAGTGGCCATTAGGCATGGTCACTTCATAACCAGCTTAGTGACCGACATGAAACAGGGCCTGCTTAGAGTGAATCCAGCAAAGTTCACATTGAATGGTCCATCCGTAACATCATAAAGGAGCTTCAGGTCCTGGAACATGAGGGGTGGCCCACAGAAATCCAGCCAAGACTTGGAGACGTGCCATCACTATGCAGACGTTGCAAATTAACATTCATTCTGCACTCTTGGCTTTTGGAGACTACTTAGATAACAGCCAGCAGGTACCACCTGACCTAAATTCTTTGATGCAATCCAGCAAAGTAATCCCAAGTAGCATATTTGAATGTGAAAGGGATTTCAGTAACATGAACTTGATTGTCTCAGAAATGTGATCAAAATGGACAATTCCTCACATGCCATTGCTTCTGTTTAAATGAAATAAATGGGCCCCCTGAATGAGAACCTTTGGAAGCCAGAGCATTAGATTAACCAGTGGCTATGAAGAAACCAACCTGACTCCAGAACTGAGTGGCTGCTTCCACAAATGTTGAAAGAAATCCAATTTGGACAATTGTTAAGTAAATTATTTTTGGAAAGGTTGAAACACTGTTGAGAAGGCCACAAAAAGGGATGGTTTCAGATTTAGGTTACTTTTGCACCACACATCTAGGGCACTTTTATTCCACTTTAAACAGTCATTGCTCCCCCATAGAATCTTGGGGGACTGCAGTGTGTCAAGGGCACTGAGTGTCGTGAGTGGACTCCCATTCCTCACACAGAGAGATCTGTTTCCAGAGTTCCTGGGGAAGATGGACTGACTGATTCTGGGAGTTGTAGCTTAATGAGCCAAACAGGTGTTTTCGAGCAACTCAGCCCCAGAATTATTTGGGAGAAATCATGGTTAAGTGGAAATACATTCACTGGAATCAGTGGGAAAAAATTAGCTATGACTTTTGATAGCCTTAACTTACTTCAGTTAGGATACTTTATGCATGATTTAGTGTGGATCCAATGAGAGCACAATAAAAGATCATTGGATATTTTGAGAATCTGGAAACCCTAAATAATAGACTCTGAACTCACAAAGGATCTCCCACACAAATTCTGTGGTTGCAGAAGTCACAGAAAAAAGAAACCAAACAGTGATTGTCAATCCAGACTTACTCTTGGGAGAATGTAACACCTGTGTTTCTTTAAGGGAGCCATACGGCTAATGGGGCAGGCTAGAAAGTGAGCAAATGAATGAATGAATGTGGTTAATTAGCGTCTGTGTCTCCTTTTTTCCTCTTCCCTCCCTGTCCTTTTCCTCTTGTATGTCATGTTTTTAGAGAGTAAGCCTATGGGCGGGAACTGCCTTATTAATTCCATGTAAGCCACTCTGGGGCATCTTTGGCTGGAGAGCAGGATATGAATGTAGTTTAATATTCATTCATAATAAATAAGATAAATAACTTCTAGAAGCTGCAATTATTTCACCTCTAAAGAAATATCCTCATCTTGCATTCATAACTCAAAAGAAATTCAAACAAAGTGACAAAACTTAGCTTCAAAAGAGGCAGATCCTGTATTAGACTGCATTAATGGAAGTATCACTTCCAAATCAAGTGAAATGCTAGTTCCCCTAAACTTGGTACTAATCAGGCCATCTATGTAGTGCTGTGTGCAGTGCTGAGCACCAGTTTGAAAAAGATACAAGCTGGAAAGTGTTCAGAGGAGGGCGATGAGGATGATCCAGGGACTGGAAACAGATCCCTGTGAGGAGAGACGGAAAGAACTGGGCATGTTTGGCCTTGCGAAGAGAAGACAGAGGAGATGTGATGGTGCTCTTCACGTACTGGAAAGACTGCACACAGGAAGGCCAGGACCTCTCCAAAGAGGAAGGCCAGCGGGCAGGACTCGAATGGGGGCGCAAGCTGCAGGAAGGCAGGTTCCAGCTGAACATCAGGAGGACTGATGGAGCAATGCAGCAGTGGAACACATGACCCAGGGAGGTGGTGGGCTCTCCTACAGAAGAGGCATTCAAGTTACAACTGGACGCCCTCAGAGAGAGATGGTGTAACTCGGTGTCCTGCACTGAGCAGGGGTTGGACCTGATGGCCCTCTGGCCCCTTCCTACTCTACTATTCTGTGATTCTGGGTGATTTTGCGAAAGCTCATTTGTATTGTATAATCATGGGTTATAGGAAATAGGTTTGGCTTGGGGGTGTGTGGGCTTGATGGGGGTGTGGACTCCCCCACACTTCTAAATTTCCCCCTACATCACTGGCCAGGGAGGAAGGGCAGATTGCCGAGGGCTTTCAATAGAAGGCCTCAAGGTTTGCATGAAAGCTGCCAGACACTCAGGCCTGTATACGAAGATGTACATGTCAAGGTATTCTCCCTTCCCAGAGTCCACTTCTCTGGCAGAACTGCTAATGTACTTTCAGACCATGGGATAAATAGAGTTCTGCTTTTCTTAAATTTATACAGGGAAATGGATTACATGGAAACGTGTGATTCTGTTGCCATTGGGCATGTAGGATTAGGTGGGCTAGAAGCTTGGTGTGCCGCAGTGGTCAGGCAAGTGTGAGCTGCCAGTCAGGAGGTGCCCTGTTCAAACACCAAAGGTGCTGTGAATGTCGGAGTGAACCTTAAACAAGCTGCATTCGCTCGCTCGGCCCCTCCTTCCGCCTTCAGACATGATAATGCTGACCCACCTTGTAGAATGGTGATACAATTTTTAAAAGACAAGTGCTGGGTGTTGTTCTTTTATATTTCTCTTTTAGTAGGATCTCCCACATCAACCCATGCTTGTTTCTGTTCTGGTTCATATTTTGCAGTGCAAATTGAATTTGGGCAATGAAGGCCACCCTACTTCATGTGACGCCGTCAGTGAGCAGGGACAGAGTTATCTCCCAGTTCCCGAAAGTAAGTCAACTTTTCACTGTTGTCCATGTTGCCGGTTCCCTGTGTGGTGGTGGGGCTGTGTGCTGTCAAGGCACTTCTGACTTAATCGCAACCCCCTGGATGAAAGTTCCACAGCTTGTCATGTCCTTGACAGGCCTGGTCAGCTCGTGCTGTTGTTTCCTTTATGGCATCACTTGATCGAATGTCTGGGCTTCCTTTCCTTCTGCCTTCAACCTTCTCTGGCATTATTGTCTTCTCCACCGAGTCGTGCCTTCTCATGATGTGCCCAAAGTGTGACAGCTTCAATTTTGACCTTTATGCTTCCGGGGAAAACTCTGACTTGGTTTGCGCTGGGACCCAACTCGTTAGTCTTGCAGTCGGTCCAAGATGTTCACAAAGCTTTCGTCCTGCACCATGTTTCAAATGCATCCATTTTCTTCCAGCTTTCTTCTCTGTTCAGCTTTCACATCAGCACACAGTAATCAGGAGTGCAATAGTGTAGATGATGCTGACTCTGGTCTCCAGTTAAATGCCTTTACACTTCATTATCTTTTCTAGTTCCTTCACCACTGCCCTTCCAAGTCTCACTCTCCTTCTAAAGTATGCCAACTCTGTCATAATTTCAATTTCTTCTTTGTTGACAGGAAAGTTGTGTAATTCTTTGGTAGCTGAGATCTTTGTTTTCTTCTTTTTTTAAGATTTTTATTAAGATTTTAAACTAAAAACTAAAAAACATCAGTCATCAAATACATCGGACGTACTGGGTCAGCCCCTTATAACATATCTTTTTAACATTCTATAATCATACTCAAATCGATTTATAAAAATTTAAAGACATCTTTAAATCTAAGCCAAGTCCCGTTTCTCCAGCCAATCATAAAAAAGGTCCCAAGTTTGATAGAAGTCAGTATCTTCTTTCTCCTTCAGTAATAGAGTCAATCTGTCCATTTCTGCACAGTCCAGAATCTTTTTTAAAATCAGTTCCTCAGCGGGTAGTTCCTCACTCTTCCAGTATTGAGCAAGTGCAATCCTCACCGCTGTGACTAAATGTAGCATCAAATACATTTCTTATTTGCTAATACTTGCTAATATTTTCCGGTATAATGCCTAAGAAGAAAATTTCAGGTTTAAAAGCTAAGGGTTTTTGTAGCATTTCCTCAAGCCATTTATGTATTTTAATCCAATACTTTTTCACATAATCACAGGTCCACCACATATGGTAAAAAGTACCCTCATCATGTTTACATTTCCAACATCCATTTGGCATATTTGGAAACATCTTAGCTAATCGACTTGGCGACAAATACCATCTATAGAACATTTTATATAAATTTTCTTTATACGAAGTTGCTAAAGTTACCTTAATATTTCTCTCCCATAGCTTTTGCCACTTTTCTAATTCAATATTATATCCAAAATTTTG